ATTCCTGGGGCTGCTCTGTGTTTCTTTCAAGTAAGAGAGGGACGTGGAAAGAGAGCTTCAGAACCAGAAGTGCCTGGGTTTGAATCCCAGCTTTGCCACTTCCTAAGTAGCCAACTGTCAATTTCCTCATCTTTAGAAATTATTTTTTTTTTAAATAATAAAAATAGGGGCGCCTGGGTGGCTCAGTTGGTTGAGTGTCTGCCTTGGGCTCAGGTCATGATCCCAGGGTCCTGGGATTGAGCCCCACCACTTCAGGCTCCCTGATCGGTGGGGAGTTTGCTTCTCCCTCTCCCTCGGCTACTCTCTCTGTCAAGTAAATAAATAAAATATTTAAAAAAATAATAATAATATCTTCACGGAGTTGTTATGAGAACAATTAAGTATTGAGACACTGCATCATAAAGAAGCAGGCTAGGAAGGGACCCACTGTGGAAAGGTGCCTTCATCATATATCACACTCATATTTATAGTAATCACAGGCACTAACTAGACTCCACGTGATGTGCTAAGGACATTGTGCGCCTGACCTCACTGAATCCTCCTGATAACCCTATGCGGTAGATATTACCCTCACAGAACCAATTACAAACACAGAGGTTCAGAGAGGTTAAGTAATTTTCCCAAGATTGCACAGCTAGTAAATAACCAGATCCAAACCCAGGCATTTGGACTCTGGAGCCTATTTGCTTAACCATCACGCAGCCATGTCCCAAAGTACTACTAATCCCCATTTGCATGACTGAAGAAAAGGGTACATGGTTGGATCCAAGGTCACAAGTAAGGAAGTGGAAGACACTTTGTACTTTTCCCAGAAGGGATTCACCCTCACTTGCATCTTATCGACTCTGAGCAACACCTCTGAGTCTCCTGCTTTCATCCTCTCCCCGCTCCTCCACTTGTTTTCCACACGGCAGCGAAAATATTGCATTTAAAATACAAACAGGATAAAGCAGTGCCTGCCCCAAGCCTCCCAGTGGCTTCCCAGCGTGCTGAAAATATAATTAAGCGCTCACGTCTGCCCAGACCTTCATGACTCACCTTCCCCTCCCTCCTCGCTCCAGCCGCACTGGCCTCCGCCCAGCACCAGACCCTCTGCCCCAGGGCCTTGGATCTGGTTGTTCCCTCTACTGTCTGTCCTGTCTTCCCCAGGCCTCACCCAAGCCCCTCTTCGGACCTTCCTGACTCTCCAGTCTCTACTGTCTGCCCCCAAATATGCCCTGGACTGTTTGTGTCCACTCAGCTGGACACGGACTTGTTCCCTGCTGTTTCCAAGGGCCACTTGATACCGGACCCGGCCACAGCAGGCGCTCATGAGAGATTGCTGAACAAACGGAGAGTTTTTACCAGAGGGATTGCACTGGGGGCCCCACCTCTTCCCACATCCAAACCGTTCACAACGTGACTCCATGACTTCCTCATCAGGACGTGGGAGGACGCGGGGGGTCTCTCCTCACCCTTGGGTACGGGCTGGCCTTGCAGCTTGCTTTGGCTAAGAAGATCTGGCGGAAGTAAGTGGTGCTGCCTTCAAGCCTACGCCCACGAGGTCTTGCTCATTTCTGCTCTGCTTGCTCACTCTCGAAACCCTGCCACTGTGGTGACAAAAGGCCCAGGCTTGTCTGGGAATGGGTACCTCATCTTAGGTTGATTTTGCTTGCCGATAGCTAACCCCCATCTCTTTCCTCGTTTGTTCCTCACACCCTCATGCTGTCACCGGGAGCCGGGAAGGAAGCTTTTAGCAGGGGGTGGTGAAGATGAAGGAAGCAGCCTCAGGGTATATTTTGGAAGTGAAATCAGAATGGATTCAGGGGACCAGTAAGCAGGCACCGGCCGCACAGACGATGATGAAGAGGGACCGGGGCACTCCTGTGGTTCACCTCCTCATAAGCAGGTAAGGGGCAGAGTTGGGGTTCACACCTGATGTGCTGACTCCCTTTAACTGGGGACAAGGGAGGGGTGAGGAGGCAGCAGCCGAGGGGAGCCCCAGGAGAAACCAACTCACCCCCACTGGGTCCCCACAGAGCTGCTATGTCAGGACCCCAAGGTGATGAAGCAAGAGGGAAACCCCCACATGGCCGACTGGAGCCTTTGGCCACCTGCAAGGTCCCACAGGGACCGCGACAGGCAACGGTCTCGCTCCTCGTTGCTTAAGAAGGAAGCAGGGAAGTCCAGAACCACAGTCCAGGCTTCCTGGTCTGTGGTGCTGGTGGATGGAGATAGGACTGCAGAGAAGGTGGCTTGTCACGGGGGCTCTGAGGTCACCCAGCCTCATCACGGTGGCAACGGGCAGGGGCACACTGCTGGTTTTACCTGCTTGCTTCTCTTCAGATGCGGAGTCTGCGACTGTCATACCCTCCTTCCTTGGCTCCCCATCACTGCTGGTCTGTGCAAAGCTGTTTTGTTTAGCTCATTCATGGTCGACCAGCAGAATGCCAGACCTCGCTGGGAAGAGGAATGCAAGCACCGGGACCGTCTGGTTGGTGGGAGAGCAAGGCTGCTGCGTCCACACTGGTTAATGACCCGCAGGACAGTGAACCCTAACACCTGGAGGTATCTTGTCTATCGGAGCGAACAAAAATAGTCACACGAACCAGCTTTGTGCAAGTTAACCTCGAACTTGGCAGGAGTGCTAAATGGCGGCCTCCAAACAATTGTTAGTCACGGTTTCATTTACAAGATGACCCTCAGACAGGACTTTAATGCTCTGCATGATCTCATAAGGAGGCACCGTTGAATGTTCTTATTTCTGAGTTTTGGGCTTTTCCCAAGCAATGTGGGTGCACCCCCTCGTCCCCACTCTCCCGGGGATGGACTTTGGGTCGCTCCCACTCGCTGCCACCCCAGCAACATCATGGAGATGGACGCCTGTGGCCGCGGTGAGTCTGGGGGCGGGGCGGAGGGCCGCTGGGGGGTCCTGTGTGCAGCACTCTGCACCCCCACCAGCTGGCACCGAGCCTCCTGGTGCCCTTGTGGAGGGTCCTTCTGTCTCAGCCTTCTCGCATCTCCTTCCTGTCGGAGGGCTGCCCCCCAAGTCTTGGTGGGACACACGTGGAAGCTGGCCAGAAGGGTGCGCCCCTGGCGGGCACCAAAGACCCGAGCACCTGACCGCCAACACTAACCACGGGCCGGGCTCGGGACGACTTTGCGTCCCGGGTGCGGGACACCGTCGTCATCATCAGTCCACACTGACGGAGGCGGTGTGTGTCGAGGGGCTCCCCGAGGAAATCAGGGTCCGGGAGAGCTTGTTAGAAGGGGCGGAGCCTCACCAGCCAAAGCCGCGTTCGCGGGGGTGGCAGAGGCCCCACGATCACTGCGTGATGAGCGCGCGCCGGGCCAGTGGACCCGCAGCCACTTACCCTTCCGGGGCCTCCGTTTCCCCAATTGTGTGATGGGGACAGCCTCGCTGGGCTGTGGTGATAAATGGGACGGTGGATTTCAGCGCTGACCGAGGGCCTGACCCACAGCCAGCAGCAGTTTGTCCTGTTATCACCGGCCCACCCCGCCTCCGGAGGTCCTGCAGCAGCAGACGCAGCTTCTCCGAGTGGTTTCCGCTGCCGGACAGTGGGCACGGCGACACGGCCGCGACGCGGGCACGTGTGGGGGCTCACGCCGGCAAGCAGGGAGTCTGCATTCACTGCTCCACTGGACCTCCGACCTGCCCTTCCCACCTGTCCCACAAGGTGCATGCTGAGACCCAGGGGCTGGTCCAGGGCACCTGGCAGACTCACGGCATTCCTTGAGACTGCTGGCACCCAAGCCTCCCTCAGCTGTCTGGGAACCGTCCTGCCCCACAGGTGTTGGAAGGGGGAGCCAGCCTCTAGCTATAGATGCCTGACAGTCCAGCTAGTCACCCTCCCAGACTCCCTTGCGACCAGGGCCTAGACTGGTCAGGTGCAACAGCATCTTCAAGAGAAAACACCAGGGTTTGAACCCCAGGACTGTGCTGAACCAAGGACAAGGCAGGGGGCGGGGGAGCTGAGGAGGCAGGCCAGGGTCTGCACGCCACAGTGAGCCACCTCCAGTCCCTCCCCCTCTGATGGGGTCCCAGACCCATGGCCCCCAAGCTCATACCCCGGTCTCAGCAAGAGATTGGATTCTTCTCTTGGCAAAATGGGTTCTCCAAGACTTACTGATACTGGTATTTGGGGGCCTCCCCCAATGAAGGCTCTAGCAATGGATGTGGGGACCACTGCTGTTTAGATGTAGGCAGCGAGACTCGAGACTCATGCGGCCAGGAAGCCACAGGCTGAGATTAGAACCCAGGTGGGTTTGGCACTAGGCCAATCCCTCCCTCGAGCCTCGTTCTGGCCTCTAAAGACAGCAGTGGAGACACCTGCCCCTGGGCCCCCAGGTGGGCTGGATGAAACCCATCTCCCACCACCTCCTCTCCAGGCTCAAGGGCCAAGAACTGGTGCCCAGGGCCTCCCATGCCATGGGGAGTCCGCGGAGGGTCAGCTACACAGAACCTGGGACTCCAGTCGGCACCTCTCATCAACAACTTTATTACTCTCCAGATGCTGGTGAACTGTAGTCCCCACAGTGCTTCCCAGGAGCAGGCATCTCTGTCCATCATGTGCCCTCCCGGCCACAGAGAGGGGCAAGACCAAGGAGCACAACAGCAGAGCCCGGTCCATCCTGTCAGAACCATCACCCCCCCGCCCCCGGCCCCTCTCCCCAGGTGGGGAGAGGTCTTCCTTCAGCCTCCTCTGGATCCATGGCCCGCCTGCCGCCCCTGCCCTGCGCTCCTCTCCTGGGCACCAGGCCGGCCTCGCTGCACCTGGGGCCTGCGGCAGGTGGACAGGGGAGGGGGGGGGGCTCGGTTCGTGGACGTACCTGATATAGGAGTGGGAAGGCCCGGGAGCCGTGAGAACCGAATAGGGAAGTGTGGCCCGGACGGAAAGGGCAGAGGAAACAGTAGGGTTCCGACTGAGGAGCCAGCGCTGGAGGAGGAGGGCTGTGGGCCGGGGCGGGGGAGGGGGGGTGCGGCGCGCGCACGGCAGCGGCTACCCCAGCGGCCAGGCCGGGATAGGGCCCCCGCCTCCGGGCCCCGCCGCCGTGCCCGCGCTGCCCGCAGCCCGGCCGTGGATGCGCTGGTGGCGCAGCACGTGCTCGCGGCGCCCGAAGCCCTTGCCGCACTGCCAGCAGGCGAACGGCCGCGCCCCCGAGTGCGTCTTTCGGTGGCGCACCAGGTGCTCGCGCCAGTAGAAGGTCTTGCCGCACTCGCAGCAGGCGTGCGGCTTCTCGCGCGCGGGCAGCGGGCGCAGGGCCGGCCCGGGGCCGCCGGGGTGCGTGCCGCGATGGCGCCGCAGGTGCTCCTTGCGGCGGAAGGCCTTGCCGCACTCGGGGCAGGCGTGTGGCTTCTCGCCCGAGTGGCTCTGCCGGTGGCGCAGCAGGTGGGCGGGCTTCAGGGCGGCCTTGCCGCACTCGGGGCAGGAGGTGGTGCCCGGGGCCGGGGCCGCCGCCGCCGCCGCCAGGAAGGCGGGCAGGCCCGGCGCAGGCGGCGCCGCGGGGGCCGGGGGAGGGCTGCCCGGCTCCTGCTTGTAGGGGCGCGTGGCCTGGGCGTCCCCCGTCGCCAGCACCTCCGCCCCGGGGGCCGCATCTCCTGCCGGGCAAAGGCACAGAGTGAGGGCAGGGGGCTCTGCACACGGCGGCGGGGCGGTGCAGGGCACTGCGGGTGGGAGCAAAGCTTAATGCCAGGAAACCATGGGGGCGGGGGCAGGGCTGACTGCAGGCTTCTTATGCATCCCTGTGTCCCCGGGATCCGGCACAGTGCTCGGTACACACTGCAGGCAGTGCCTAATAAATGGATGCACGGATGGACGCATGGGTGTGATGGAGGATGGGTGAATGGAGGATGAAGATGAGTGGGGTATCCATGAGCAGCTTGATGGAGGAAGGCAGGTCAGTAGGTAGGTGGATGGAGGAGATGGATGGAGGAGGAGATGGGTACAGACGGAGGGGTGGAGGACGGACAGACGGATGGATTGGTGGTTAATAACAGATGGACGATGGGGCGCTTGGGTGGCTCAGGGAGTTAAGCATCTGCCTTCCTCTAGGGTCATGATCTCAGATCCTAGGACTGAGCCCTGTGTCGGGCTACCTGCTCATTGGGGTATCTGCTTCTCCCTCTGCCCCTCCCCCTGCTCTCTAATAAATAAATAAAATCCTAAAAAAAAATCCTGGTTTAAAAAAAATAGACCGTCGATGGATAGATGGGTAGGTGGACAGCAGGTGGGTGGATGGATGGGGGTGGGCGGTGGACGGAGGAGAGGGGACAGGGCAGAGACACATGTATGAAAGGAGGGAGGCGGGCTGATGGGTGAACGGTAGGTGGGTTGACTGCATGATGTGTGAAGGGGGTGGGTGGCGTCTGAGTGGGTTTTGGGTAGACAAATGATTGGGTGGGTAAGTCAGGTGGACAAAGAACCTCACATTTCCTTTCTCCAGGTTTTTAAACTGCTCTATGGAGTTCCAGGGAGATAAGCTCCGGCTCATGATTCAATTTACAAAAACAATCCCAGTGCAACAAAAAAAGTGTGAACCCCCTGCCCCCACCCACACATTCCCTCCATGCCAGCCACCAGGTCCCAAGCCTTGGTGTCCTGGCCTCTCCTGGGAGCAAAGACACCTGCTATCAGGGGCAGAAGCCACCGTGCCCACCCTGGCTCTGGCCTTGACTTGCTGTGTGGCCTTAGGCAAGCTGCTTGAGCTCTCTGGACCTTGGGTTTCTACTCTGTTAGACACAGGCTTCCAGAGAGCAGAGTATACCAGTGGGTCAACCAACGGTGGTGTTGGCTTGGTGCACAGCAGCGTGTTTAAAAATGTAAAGAACATTTGAAAATCAGGCAGTTTCATAAAAATCCAAACTTTTGTCTTTTCTTGAGAAAAAACTGTTGATGTACTGGGGCCGCATTCCCACGTGGCAAAACAGGCTGCAAGAGAGCTGGCAGAATGGTGCCTGGCACACACCAGCAGCTGGTATGCATGGCCGGGCACTGGCTGTTCTGTCTGACCTCGCTGTGCCCTCCGTGGGGGCATGTCTGATCCATCTCCAGCCCTGGGGCCTAGCTCAGGGCCTGGCACATGGCAGGGACACCGGGAATGTTCACTTAGCAAATGAAGGATGAGCAGAAGGGGGACCCCTCAGGGTGGGAGAGGAGCATCATGTGGGTGAGGGGGTGAGCTACTCACCTAAGGGCATCATCCCAACATCATCCTTTCCAATGGTCACCCCGGAGCCTTCTGTCACATCCTGAGGTACCCTCACTGCTGGTCCCTGAAATAAGAGATACCACACTCAGAAATGAGAAACCACAGCGATAGCCTCTAATTTTTCTCCCCCGCAACCCCCACTACGTTTAGGCAGTCATCAAGTCCTATCACGTGCTCCGGGGGAAGCTGGCTACCAGGCCTCCTGCTGGTCACCATGTGAGGGACCCATCTGGGGAGCAGACCCTCCAGCCCCCAGGTGACCCCCTCATGAGACCCTGAGTCAGATCTGCCCCAAATTTCTGACCCACGGGAACTGTGTGAGACAACAAATGTTTGTTGTTGCAAGCCTCTAAGTTTGGGGTGATTTGTTATGTAGCAACAGACAGTTGATACACTTGCTTTAATTCCTACCTTAGCTTCATAATTACTGCCCTCTGGATAAAGTGCAAACTCCTTGACAAAGTACACAAGAAAAACACATAAGCTACCTTTAACTCGGGAAAAAAAACAAAGCAATGGAACTTTTCCCAGCTCAAACAGTAGACCACTTGTGAGCAGGATAGTGACAGCCAGAACACCGAAGGTTACTGAAAATGTTTCAGACTATTTTAGGTGTCTTTATGCTATTGTCATTGTTTCTTAAGCCCTTGTCCCCAAGGAACAGATTAGAATCCTAGTGCCAACGAAGGAGAGCTGACTCCTGAGTTCCACACATCCAACCCCCTTCTCATATTTGACTTCTTTCAAATGCAACAGATAGGATGGAAGTCAGTGATGCCTAAAATTCTATCAACTAGCAAGAAAACTCTGCAGGGAGCTTCCAGAGAGCCTTTCTCAAACGTGCATTGTTTGGAATTTGTGAACGCCCACGTTGTCTGGTGGTGGCAGGAGGAATATTTTGCATGGTCACCTTTTTGCTCTAGCAGACTGTAAACTGATTCCTGACCACTTGTGCAGCTCAGGCTGTTATGGTGCTACGGGTGACGACCCGCTGTTTCCTTCTGCTGTGGCCCAAGGGCCCCGGCCCCACCTCCTCCTCCAGCCCCACCTCTGGCCAGGTCCTTTCCTGGAAGTCCATAGTAGTCCACAGTAGAAAGTTAATGATGCCCTGAGCGTGCCAGGTTCTCTCAAACCTCCACTCTTTGGCATATTCTGTTCCCTCTGCCTAGAACTCCTTCTCCCATCCCCTTTTCCCTGTCTACCTCCGACATGTCCTTCAAGACTTGACTGAGCCCCCATCCCTGCCACCACACACAGGTTTATGACCCTGGGTGATTTAAGGACAGCCCCTATCCTGCTACCTATCACGCCCCACTACTCAACAGCTTTACTGAGGTTATAATGGATGTACATTATAAATGCATATATTTAAAGCATACGATCCAGTGAGTTTCAACATGTACACACTCGAAACTACCATGAGAGCCGAGATGGCAAACATATCTAACAGCCCCTAAAAGTTTCCTTATGCACGTTTGTGATCTCTCTGAATCCCCGAATTACGAATCAGCAAATGCTGATGCATTTCCCATCACTACAGAGCCGTTTTCATATTCTAGCAACTTTATGTAGAACCACAGAGTAAATAGGTACTCTTTTTTGGGGGGGGGCGGTTCTCTCATGCAACATAATTATTTAGAGATTAAGGGTACTGTCCTACAGTTTTCTTTCTCGTAGCATCTTTGGTTTTGCCCACAGAAGGAGTTGGGAAGTGTACCTTCTTCAATGTTTGAAGTTTGTGTGGAGTTATCACCTGTTCCTGAAACATTCGGTAGACCTCCTTGACAAAGTCACCTTAACTGTCACACTGCATTTTTATGCCTGTGCTTGCCCATCTCCTCCTACAGACTGTGGGCTCCAGGAGGGCAGGGCCTGGCCTGCCTTCCTTCTGTGGTATCCCTGGTGCCAATCCTTCTAATAACAGCTGTCGTGAGACATAATTCACCTACTGCAGAATTCACCCACTGAAAATACAATTCTGTGGCTTTCAGTGTATTCAGAGCTGTGCAGCCATCCCCAGTTTTAGAATATTTTCGTCACTGGCAAACTAAATCTCAAACCCAGTAGCAGCTACCCCCCTTCCCTGCCCCAACCCCTGGAGCCCCAGGCTTCTCTCTGTCTGTGGATGTGCCTGTTCTGGGTGTTGCGTTAGTGGAACCTTGCAATCTACAGTCCCTTCTGACTGGCTCCTTCCCCCTTTCCACGTCACGTCTTTGATGGTCACTCTGGCAGGCGTCAGTGCTTCAGTCCCTTGCGTGGCTGAAAAATGTTCCCTTGTGAGGCTGGACCACATTCTGTGCATCTATTCCAGTGGGCACACAGGTCGTTTCCATCTTCTGCCTATTACGGAGACTGCTGGCCTGCTGCCGTTCGCCTCACATCAGTGACAAGTTTTGTGTGGACGTACACCCAGCAGTGAAGTGCTGGCTCACAGGGTAGCAGGTGTCTAACCTTCACAGGAACTGCCAGACGTCTCCCACTGCAACTGCCCCGCATCACGTTCCCCCCACCGTGGAAGAGGACGGGGCTCTGCTTCCCGGTGCCTCTTCTGACAGTCCTCAAGGGATGCCAGGTGAGCGAACGATGGAAGGGAAAAAGGGTCAAGCTGTCTGCCTTTGCTCTGGTGAAGAAGGGAGTCAAGATAAGGGGGTACCGAGGTGTGGAGTCAGGGTTTGGCCTGAGGCCGACCAGGTCCCCAGGTGCCTCCCAGCCACAGGCCTGCCTGTGGGACCCCGAGCAAGTTACCTCCCACCCTGGGGTCAGAGCAGAGGGGCTGAGGCGGCACTCGGTCTCACCCCGAGTCCTGACCCAGACTGGCAGATGCCGAGGGCACAGCAGAGGGAACTCCCCAGCTCCGCGGCCCTCGGTGGGGCTCCTGAGACCCACAGGTGACATCCGCCCCCAGTGCAGCAGGCCAGTTGCAGGACACGTGCCAGGCGCCCGCCCGCGAGCAGAACCCAGGAAGCCACACTGCCAGCAGGCTCTCCTGGCGATTCTAGGGCACACACATCCTCTGGATGGCCTGGGGCTCTCTGGTTTGGGGTCCCAGACATGGGATGCTAGGCTGTGCAGAGACCAAGTCCCAGCCACAAGAAGATATCCAGGCAGAGTGGCCATGGGGATGAGGCTGGGGCCCTGGGTGAGACACTGGGGACTCAGTATCTGGCGTACAGCGGGGCTTAGAAGCAGGATCTAGAGCCAGGGCCTGTGGGTTCTATTCCTCCCGCTGCCCCCTAACTAGCCCTGTGACCTTGGGCAAGGTTCTTGACTTCTCTGAGACGCACACTGCCATCCGGGAGACAGAGGATAACAGTATGCAGTACCGACCCCTCAGGGCTGGGTGGAGACGGGCAGGCCGCGCTAACAACGGGATTTATGGGGAGCTCTTAGCCTCCAGAGGGGCTAGAGACTCGAGTCAGACCATATAACTGACCTCCAATAAGAAGCCTGGACACCAGGCTCGAGAGCCTCCCTCGTCAGCATGGTCAGCACGACCTGGTGCTGTCCCCACGGCGCCTCCAGGAGAGGCGTGCTCCTGGACCTGCCCCAAGTGCCTCTCCCCTCACTGACTGTGCTCTGCGTCCCTTCACTGAAAGAAATCGGAACTGTGAGCACCCCAGCTCTCATCAAGTCCTGAATCCTTCTCATGGATTACCGAACCCACGCTGGCCCTGGGGACCCCCAAACTTGCAGGTGGTATCAAAGCAAGGTGTCCTCGGAGGAACCCCTGGGCGCCGCACACGGAGCCGCCTGGCCACCAGCACTGCCCATCTGGGGCAGCTAGGACACTTGGGTTCAGGTCTGAACTTCCCACCCTGGAACTCATTCATGTATTTATTCCAGCTCCACCAGGCGAGGGGGCAGGGAGTGAAGGCAGGAGACCCGACCACATCTTTCTCCCGAAGATTCAGAGTCTAGCCAGAGTCTAGCCAACCACTCAACCTCATCAGCTGAGCAAGCCCTGTGGGCCACCCTGAGCCACGACCACGCCACCCGCCTTCACCTCTCCGGGCTCACTGCTGCCCTCGCCTTCCTGCACACCGGCCCCGCCAGTGCCACCGGCTTCGGCTCTCACCTCTGCCGGCTGCCCATGCTCTTCCTGTGCTGCGGGCTGTCTCTGCCACCCCAGGATTCCCTGAGCGCCCGGAGGCTCAGGCCGGCGGGCATTTCCTGTTGTGCTGACTGCGGCCCAGCTCTCCCAGCCTCCCAGCTCCTGACCGCCCACCCGCTTTCCTTCGGGTTTCCTGGGCTGGCAGACACCCGGCCCCCTGGCTATTGTGTGCCCGGGACCGGATGCAGGTGACTGACCGTGGCCAATTTGGTCCCCCCTCCGCCGTCTCCCCTAACCTGCAGAACAGACCAGGCTCTCCCTCCAGACCTGACAGGAAACTTCGCACTTGCCCGCCTACATCCAACAGAGGCGGCCTGGGGGTTACTCGCCGCTCCCTGGGCAAGCCCTTTGTTGAGCACCTACTATGTACCAGGCACTACTCAAAGCACCAGGGACACATCAGTGAACAAGACAGACACGGCTCCTGCGCTTGAGGGCCTATGTTCTAGTCACTGCTAGACAAACCATAACATGATTTCCACAAGGCCGGCTCAGCCAGGTAGGGATTTCTCTCGGCCCCCTGGAATCGGAGCAGCCAAGAAGAGCCCTTTGAACTGTGGAGGCTCACACGCTGCCAGTGGCAACACCAAGTGCCGCAGCCACCTCGGGAAGCAGTTTGGCGGTTTCTCCTAAAATCAAACACGCCTGCCACGAAACCCAGGCCTTGCACCCCGTGATCTACTCCGGCTAAATGAAAACTCAGGTTCACGCAGGAACGCACCCCCAGGTCTTTAAAGCAGCTGCATTCAAAATCACCCAACACTGGAGAGCACTTCTGGGTCCTTCCACAGGGGAGGGACAGAGAAACTGGTGTGTCCACACCACGGAGTTCTACTTGGCATGAAAAAGGAACCAACTACGACACACGCGACCACACGTGTCAATCTCAAAGACATCGTGCTGAGCCAAAGACCCAGCCCCCAAAGCTCACACACTGTGAGTTCCTTTCTGTGCTTCCCCAGAATACGGACCACAGACTGGCAGCCCGCGGGGCCCTGGGGCGAGGGTGCCTGTGAGGGCGGCCCACGGAGTTCTGGGGTGACAACACAGGTCTGTGTCCTGACTATGGCTACAATTAACCACCGTGTGTTGACAATGCAGAGAACTGTACACCCCCACAAAAAGTTAAAAATACAGTGAAGCCAAGTGCCTGGGTGGCTCAGTCAGTTAAGCGTCTACCTTCGGCTCAGGTCCTGGGACTGAGCCCCGCATCAGGCTCCCTGCTCAGCGGGGAGCCTGCTTCTCCCTCTGCCTCTGCTGCTCCCCCTGCTTGTGTTCTCTCTCTCAAGTAAGTAAATAAATAAAACCTTAAAAAAAAAATACACTGAAGCCGTGGCCCCTCGCACCAGGAGACTCAGCTCCCGAGTGAGAGACCCTGCCGCAGTGTTCTTCAAAGCCCCCACATGTTCTAGGCAGCCGAGGTCTGGAGCCATGGCCTTACAGCAGTGCGTGCAAAATGCATCAGGGAAGGCTCTGCCCCACCCAGGCGAGGACCCAGACCTCAGAGACACCCTCGTCCCAGAGGCGTTTCCCAGACTCTAGCTTTCCAGGTCCCTCCGCCACAGTCTGAGTGCAAAGGCCTGACACCCAGGCTACCATCACTCTTCACACCTTTGGTTTAAATAGCTGTCTGTCCCACCAGCAATGAGGAAGCGGCATCAGAGGGGCCGTGGATGGTTCGGTGCAATCCCGCAGAACAGCATCATCCCAGGGATGCTCCAGCTGGCTCCCAGCCCGAGGCTGCTCTCCTACCAGACAGGGAGAGAATGACTCCCGGGCACCCAGGGAAGCCGTCGGGGAATCACCGGGAACCATGATTCCACGAGACTCTGATGCCGTGCTCCCACACCACTTCCGAGTCCTCGGACATGCACCTGCCTTTGTAGCAGGCACAACAGTCCCTGGTCCCAGGGCTCGTGGCTCTGTGCCCTCATGTGGCAGAAGGGCTGGGACTTTGCGGGTGTAACTGACATGAGGGGACAGCCCAGGATTATCTGGACGGGCCCAGTATCATCAGGAGGGTCGGGGTCAGGAGAGGACGTGACCTTGGAAGCAGAGGTCAAGTAAGGCCCAAGGATGGATTCTTCCCTACAGCCTCCAGAAGGAACACAGCCCTGCCCACACCCAGGTTTCAGCCAGACCCGAGTCAGACTCCTGGCCTCCGGCACTCCAAGTGAGTTCGTCTGGGTTGTCTTTAAGGCACGGGCTCTGCGGTGATGTGTGATGGCGGCAGCGACAGGGAACCATGACCCAGAGAAGCGGCTGTGAGGGGAGGGGTGAGGCTGGTCCCAAGAAGCGGGGGAGAGCCTATCAGAGCAGCTGGGCCTCAGAGACAGAAGGGGCCGACAAGACCACGGCTGCGTCCCCAGCACCCAATGGGGCGCCACAGGCACTCACAGTGAACACTCTCCCAACTGACTGCTCACCCCCGCCGTCCGCCAGCCTCTGACCCCCGTGCCCGCCAGGCTCTGGCCACCGCTCACCACGCGGCCCACATGTGGCTGCTGAGCACCTGGAAAGGGGACACGTGCCACCTGCCAAGGTGGTAACAGGCCGGATACACTGAGTTCAACAAATTGAAGCCGCGTGTTCCTTTCCGCCCTTTCCAACGTGCTACAGACAGGGCTCAGGTCCTATTTTCCCTGGACAGTGCGGCTCTAAACCGCGGGTCAGCGGGCTTTTCCTACAATGGACCAAGAGTAAAGGTTTTCGGCTGTCTGCGTCCACACTGCCCTGCTCAGTCCTTGTGGCAAAAGGGCCACAGGCACCACGTGAATGGACCGGCCCGGCTGTGCACCCGGGAGGTTCTGTCACACTCCACAAAACCGGGTGGGGGCAGGGCCCACAGGCTCCTGTCGGGCGATCCCTTGCCTTTAGTAAAGCATTTGGTCTCCCTGGGAGGTGACCTCTAAGGCCCTGGGGCAGCCTACCTGACACGAGCGACTGTGTGCGTGGGGGCCTGGGGCCACACTGGCCAGTGCAACAGTACAATTTATAACGGAGACTTTCAGACACCCAGGATGCGCTCAGCCTCCAGGGGGGCTGGAGGGCGAGGCGGGTCACGCGTGCACAGCGGAGCCCAACAGAAACTCCGGGCACCAAGGCTCAAGGAGCCACCCCGGCGGGCGATACCGCACGCACGCTGTCACGCTCCGTGGCCAGCAGGACCGTCCACGTGCCCCCGTCAGAGGAAAGCTAGAGGCTTCGTGCACGGGGCTGGGCTAGAGCCCTGCCCCTCCTCCCTCCGCTGACCGGATCTGCGTCCTTCTGCTGTGACAAACCCCAACTGTGAGCAAGACGGCTCTCGGAGGGTTCTGAGTCCTCCTCCTGAATCGTTCAACAGGAGGGCGTCTCGGGGACCAGCCCTCTGCACCGCGCTACCAGCCTGATGCACACACCCACCCCACAGCCTCCCCACGCTCAATCGTGGCCTGAGACCAGTGGCCCTCCGGAGAGCAGAGGCGAGGCAGGGAGGGGCGAGGCCGGTCTCCAACCAGGTGAGGTGGCAGCTGAGGGACATGGGTGCGAGCAGGGCCCCACACCCCCCACCAACCCTGTGCTCACCCAGAGCTCCTCCAGCAGGGCCACGGCATCCTCCCCGCTCCGGGGCTGCCGGCTGCATACCCAGGCCTGGATGTCGGCAGGGAGGGCACTCAGGAACTGCTCCAGCACCAGCAGCTCCAGCATCTGCTCCTTGGTGTGCAGCTCGGGCTGTAGCCACTGGCGGCACAGGGCACGCAGCAGGCCCAGTGCCTCGCGGGGGCCCGGCGCGTCGCCCAGGTGGAAGTGGCGAAAACGGTGCCAGGGCGAGTCCAGGGTCAGGCCCTCGGCCGTTGGGCCTTCCTGCTTCACGGGCTGGGGAGACGGGACCTCCATGGGGGTCTGTGAGCCCCACAGGGACGGCAGCACCTGTGGGGAGGGGAGTTCGGCACCGTCAGGGCCCAGCTCAGTGACTCAAGAAACCACCGCCTCCTGCCGGGTGCACCCCACACGTGCCCACATCAGAGGTCAGGGCCGGGTGACCTGGAGTAAGCGGCGGCGCCCTCTGTGCCTCAGTTTCCCCTGTAGGTCGAAGTGCTCCCCTACCTGGCACAGCCGAGGGAGGAGTGCCTGGGAAGGAAGGTGCCTGTGGGCTGCTGTGCCCAGGGCCCTGCACACAACAGGTGCTGAAGGAAGGGAGATTCGGATCCCCGTCCTGGGACGGCCCAGGCTCAGATCCTGGCTCTGCCCTTCCCTGAGGGTGACCGCGGGCCCTGCTGTTCCTCCGACTCCTCCCTCAGCTTCGTGTGAGGAGTAAACACACAGAGAGCTGGAACAGTGCACGGCACCAGCAAGTGCTCAGAAAGTCCTGAGCTCTCGTCAGCGCCATCGTCATCGTAACTGGTCACCCCGATGACACACATACCCCGCGTCCCCAGCATCCCCTGCAACAGATGCTTACAATGCCTACTCCAAAGACACCTCTGCAACCGCTTCCTTATTCACAGTCCCCCAAGTCCACATGAAGCTCTAACCCCAGCACCATGGTATCTGGAGGTGGGTTTGGGGAGATGAGCGGGAGCTCACGAATGTCGGCGGAGCTGGTACAAGCTCCGGTTAGGAGACGAGAAGTCATGGGGGGGGTCTAACGTACAGTGTGGCAACTGGGGCTCAGGAGACTGTGCTGTCTGCTTGGAAGCTGCTAGGGGAGTGAGCTTACAGGTTCTCATCACAAGAAAAAGCAAGGGTGACTATGCGAGTCAACAGACGTGAACCTAACTCACCGTGGCAACCGAGTCACAATGTACCCACGTCAGAGCGTCACGTGTATCTTAACACAACACTGTATGTTGGTTACACCTCAATAAAACTGGGAAAAGAGACTGAGAGAAGCCATAAGGATGAGGTCGGAATCCGACGGGATCGGTGCCCTTGCAGGAACAGAAATCTCCCAGATGTGCTCTGCCACGTGAGAAGATAAGCAGGCTGCCCACTGCAGCCCAGACACGAATCTGCCTGCAGCTGACCGTGGACTCTGGCCTGAGAACTGAGAAATAAGCATCTGTTGTTGAAGCCCCAGTCTGTGGTATTCCTGTGCATGCCTGAGCTGCCCCACACACGGATGGGCCCCCAGTCACGTCCAGGGATCAGGAACCATGGTGGACTGCAGGACTTGGCCCCCATCCACTCTCCCCTTCCTCCTCTGTCTAATTCCCCCGCCCCCAAGGAAGCTGTGTGCCTTCCTCTTCCTCTTCCCATTCCTGAAGGAGGGGACCTGGATGTGGCAGTGGTTCCACCAGGGGTGATGTGACCCTGAGAGACAGCTGGAAATGTCCGGAGACTTCTGACTGCTTGATGGGGGCAGGGGAACCGTGCTGCCGGCATCCAGCGGGGGGAGGCAGCTGGGGGTCCTACAGCCCACAGGGCAGCCCCACGGAACAGAATGATCCAGCCCCAAATGTTGACAGCACCAAGGCTGAGACCCCGGCCTGGAGGAGACATCCTCGTGTGGTCCAGGGACCCCTGGGGTACTGAGAGGTCAGAACTGTTTCATCACGACAGTAAGACATTATCTGCCTCTTTTACTATCCCTCTCTCCTCAGTGTACGCTGGGGTCTTCCAGAGGCTGCATGAACGCAAACTGAATGCAGAAGCAGATGCGAAACCCAGCCATCTTCTTTTGAGTCCAGCATTGGAGAGATTTGCAGAAAGATAATGCCACATTTCCAATTTTTTGTTTTGGAAAACACGGTTATTTTCCATTTAAAAAACGTTATTTACGTCAACATGTTAAGGGTTGATTACTTCTATTTCTAAATGCATTAATAAATACTTTGAAATTTCTTTGGCCTTACATTTTAATAGGATAGATACCCATAAACACAACTGCTATAAATAAAAATGTTTTGGAATCTCCAGTAATTTTTAAGAACATAAAGGGGTCCTGAGTTCAAAACGCTTGAGAACCACTAGGACTGGGGTCAGCAAACAGCCACCTGTGGCCCAAATCTGGCCTGTAGCCTATCTTTTTTTTTTTTTAAGATTTTATTTTTTGGTATTCTCCATAACCAACGTGGGGCTTGAACCTACAACCCCGAGATCAAGAGTCGCGTGTTCTACCAAGTGAGCCAGCTGGTTGCCTTTTTTTTTTTTTTTTTTAATTTTTAAAAGATTTTTTATTGATTTGAGAGGGAGAGCAAGAGAGGTAGTGAGAGAAAAAGCCCGAGCAAGGGGGAGAAGGGTAAGCAGGCTCCCCACTGAGCAGGGAGCCCAACATGGGGCTCTATCCCGGGACCCTGGGATCACGACCTGAGCCAAAGGGAGACGCTTAACCAACTGAGCCACCCAGGTGCCCGCTTTTTCTTTTTTTAAATAAAGTTTTGCTGGTACATGGCCATGCCTATTTGCTCATGCACCGTCCATGGCTGCTTTTGAGCTCAGAAGGCAGAGCTGAGTAGAATCACAGAGACTGAATAACCTGCAAAGCTGCCCACATGGTTAGAGATATTTACTATCTGGCTCTTTCCAGAAAAAGTTTGCCAACCCCTGACCTAAAGGATGGTGGGACCAACACAGAAGGGATCCTGGATGACCCTGTGGGTCACGGCACTAACCCAACCCAGAACACTGCTGCACTGTCAGAAAACAAGTTTTTCTATCTGACCTGAGCCACTGTGTTTTGGGGCCTCCTTGCTACAGTAGCTTGCTCTCGATCACGACTAAAGGACAGTCCTCTCGACCACAAGGCAGGAGGTAGACAAGGGCTCTGACCAATGAGATTTAAGAGAAAGTCTGTGTTTGAACAACTCTCCTTTTGATACGAGAAATTTCTGTGGCCAACCGCATTTTGCAGCAGAGCAAAGGAGGTCAAGAGAGAAGATCCTTGGCTCTGGGGCACAGGCTCTGAGTAGCTGGGCTGAAAGGTCCCCTGGACAGCCCAAGTCCAAAGCTCTGGCTCTTTACTACTACGCCACTGACCATGGACATCATCTCGTTGTTGGGCCGGCCACCACAGCCCCCATCATCTCCCTGCTCCCAAGCCTGCCACCCTAGACACAAATCACTCCACAGCAATCAGAAAGGGTTTTTTCCCCTCAATACAAATCACATTATGTCACTTCCCCCACTCAAAACCCTCTGCTTCTTTGCTACACAAGGTCTCACATCTGCCTACCTTTCTTGTCTCCTACCATTCTATCCCTGGCTCTCCTCCAGCCACACTGGCCCCTTGATTATATTCTCAGACTCCAGGCCAGTCCTGCCCCAGGGCCTTTGTACCTGCTCTTCCCTCTCCCCTCCTCCTTGCTCAGCTGGCTCCTTCTCTTCTTTGAGGCCTCCATGCAATTTCCCCTACTCGGAGAGCCTCCTCAAATCACCCGATTAACACAGCATCCACACACCCTACCCTGCAGTTACCATCCTGTCACCTTTATTAATTTCCCTTTAGTGTTTAACAAGACGGTGTGTTATATTTGTGTGCTGTCTTCCCTCATGAGAATTTAAGCTTCAGGAGAGCAAGAGACCACAGACACAGAGGCCAGCATGCTGGCTGGCACTCAAAGAAAATTTATAGGATGATCAGTCCTATGAAATTAGTATTATTATTGCCCCCAGTTTGCAAATGGAGAAGGTGAAGACATCTTGCCCAAAGTCACCCAGGTAACAAGTAACAGAGCCTGAACTCACACCCAGGTCTGCCTGGTTCCACAGCCAATCTGCAACATCACCTCCTGCCCACTCATCCCTCCATTTGAGGACTGACAAGCCTGGGAATGGCAGGGAGGGCTTCCCAGAAGACCTGGGCCAGAGCTGAGTCTCCAAAGATGCAGAGAAGCCTGCTCTGCTGTGTGAAAGATCCCTCTGGGGTGGGGCCGGAATCTGACCTGAGGGAACCAGGCCTCAGGCGTCAAGCTGAAGGGTCCACAATCTGGTGGGGGGGGGAGCCTCATGGGTAGCCACCAGCTGTCCACAGTGACTTCCTCAGAGCAGGACCAGTTGGACCCTTCTCTGGGTTCCAGGGTCACCACCTCTGAGAAAGCACATACTAAGCCATAAGTAAGGTCATTCCACCACGTGAACCAATCCTTGTCGTCCACCGAGGGTCCAGTTCCTCCAGGGGCTGCTAGAGTGCTGTGTGTTACCTCCACTAGAATACCTGTAACACTGCTGTGTCTGAGGAGTATCGTCCAGCCCAACCAGGCACCCTGGAGGCCTCAGGAGACAGCCGCTGAGTGGGATCTGCCTCACACTGCCCCACCCAAGCGTCCCAACAGCCCTGTGCGCTGGGCACCCCTGTGAAAAGGAGAAACGGACACTCAGAGGCAGGACTCAAACCTGGAACTGTAGGACTCCAGAGCCCACGCCGGTTGCACCCAGCACCTCTGCATGGCGCGCTCAGTTAACAAAATGCTTAAGGGGTGGGCTCTGGACCTTGGCCATCACGCTTCCACTTTCAGCTCTGCCATTTATCCAGTGCCTGACCTTGGATCCATGATTTGCCTGCCCCTCTGCAGGCTGAACTTCTCCACCTGTAAACCAGCACTGATAACAGCTCCTTCCCCACATGGGGCTGCTAAGGATATGAATTAGAAGTGGCTGAGCATACAGTAAGCGCTCAATGAAGACCTGTGTGTCTACTGCAGGCTTTCCAAACTCAGTGCTCGTCATACATAGGGCTGGATAATTCTGTGTTGTGGCAGCCGTCCCATGCCCTGTGGAAGGTTTAGCAGCATCCCTGGCCTCAGATGCCAGTAGCTGTCTCCCCAACTCCCCAACTGTGACCCCAAATAGGTTTCCAGATATTGTCACGTACCCCCGGCTGAGAGCCACTGGCCCACTGGACAAATATTTACTCAGAGCACAAGGGCTCTGGAGCAAATCCCAGTTCTTCAGCCTCC